TGGGTTATGAAAGACTTCTACTTTTCCTCAGTTTCCAATCACTTACTTTAAACTACTTATTTGGGGGAGCTTGGGGTTACTAAACTAAATATCGCAGGGGCTGTAAACTAGGCAGAATAAATAATTTAAGAACCAGACATAGCTGATGCCTTCTTTACTCCATATTGGAGATAAAAAGAAGGAACACACTCTAGTAATCCCTGCTCATTTTCATGGCCATTCTTGCACCTGTAACTCAAATAATGAAGCCATTTGTTATTTATATTGCACTTTCCCCTTCATTCTAGATTTCTAACGATCTGACCCTGTTTTATGGCCCTGACAAAAGCTTGAAACCAGTGTGGACTTCCAATAATTGAACAATATAGGGGAAAAATCTTTAGCTGGAATGAAGCAGATGTTAGCTTCATACAGTCCCCTAACTTGATTATTCTTTGGACACATTAGACAAGCATTAGTGATTGATAACGATGCTAATTAACCCCTTTCCTTTTGCAAAACAGCAAACCAATGCCAGCAGGATTCTGCAAATAACACACACAAATACACCGTGTATCAGTATCAGTTCAAAGTGGATCAGTGGCACAACTCCATGGCCCAGTGCTTGACAGAAATCTCCTCCTGATGACAAGAAGTCAGGCCCAAATCTTCCCTAAGAGTTATCTGCTCCCAACGCTTGCACGGTAAGGAGCAGAGACGTAGCCCTTCTGTCCAGAAAAGATGCACAGGACAGAATGAGGCACCACTTATTTTTTAGACTCCCAACCTTTCCTGTTCAATTCTCAAGCTTGTTTAAAACCCTCTGCCCTCACTAGCTCAGGCAGGCTTCACATTCCTCCCTGTCAGAAGGGCACATGGTGTTTTAGCTACACATTGCAAACACGAGGGCTGACACTCTGGGAATCTGGTCTGGGCTGAGACAAGGAGGGAAAGAGAAGTGCACATTCAGGAATTTAAACGAAAGGCAGAAGACAAGTAAACAAACAAGGAGCTGATCTGATTACACAGTCAAATTTATCATGGACAATAAAGAAATCGCCTCTAAATGTAAGGGTTTGGATAAATGAATACTCCTGGCAAGTGAATAAAATGTATTCAATTAACTAAAAACCTCGTGCACTTCTGAACTGAAGTGGAATCGACTGTAATTGATTTATTTGAAACCAGAGGTTAAGGACTGAATTAGCTAAGTACAACTGGGTATTTCAAGCCACTGACTTCTCAAATGTCAAATCCCTTCTATTTTAAATATTATTTCAGCTGCGGGGCATTGCTGTCCTGATGGCTGTTCCACCAGTTAAATCTCAAATTATATTAATATTCGATTTTTGGAGGGTGGGGTAAATTATGGTACAAAGAGGAGGGCTGTCCTTGTTCACGGTGAAAGAGCACCGAGCTGTATTTTGGTGCACATGTAGGAATTAGCTCAGCATGGCAGCAACGGTCTAACGTTCAGCCACCGCTCCCCCTCATTCCAACCAATCTGGGGGAAAAATTTGTGTTTGGTGCACAAAAGCACGACTTAGAATTTCACTGCTGCGCATTGATCACAACGTTAAAGACACATCCAAAGAATGCTAAAGTAATTAGCACGTTTTAGTAACCGCATATTGGTCACAGCAGAAGAGGCTGAACTGGAGCTAGTCTGATTTCCATTATCACCTGTAAAATCCTTCCTTAGAAACAACACTAATAAAGAAATCTATGCGAGGTCATTTCATTTCTGTTTTCTGGTGGCTTGCTAATGCAGCAGCAGGATACTTAAAATGCGCTCCCCTAGCATAAAGTAGCTAATTATATCTTTAAAACATTATTTATTATGACCTTATAATGTTCTAGCATAAGACTGCTTTATACATTGCCCAGTATAAAACGATTATATTGGGTACAGGTTTCAAAAAGTAACAAGCATCTGTAAATCCAGATATGAATGAATGGTATTTAATAAGATTGTTTTCATTTAAAAATGAGTATTTATGTGTTGCTGTAGAAAGAGCAGCAATGTATTGCTGTTTATGAATGCTATTGTGCCTGAGGTTAGGATCCCACACACAATCTGAGATGCAGCCAAGAAAAACAGCCCTGATAGACAATGCTTCACTTCACCTGCTACAATACTGTGCATTTCATTTATGTCAAGAATATGTACAGTTAGGGTTCATTCACCTCATTATTTTGTTACATCTACTTTACAGTTAACCAGTCTCTCTTGGAAATAATAAATAACTGTTTTTAAAACAATTGCAGCTTTGCATTCAAAAGATCAGCTTTCAATTTATAGGAAAAAATATTCACCATTTTTATAAACTGGCTGGCTCTCGAAAATAGAATTTAGACTCCACCAACTCTCTTTCTGCTTGGCAAGATTGATTTTACACTGCCTTCCATAAGTAGATTACCAAAGCAAAATGAAACATCTTGGGCTTTATCTAATGCTTTGCTTCACCAGCCCTACCAAACGTCAAAATATATGAGCAAATGTTAATTCTCTTTGCAGCTTTATTGTAAACACCTCCCTCTTAACCTCCTCAATTTCTGCCTGAGCAGAAAGGAAAGGAAAAAAAAAAAAAAGGGAAAAAAAAAAGAAAAAAGAGACAGAGTCAGGGAGGGAAGGAAAAAGAAAGAGAAAAATCAGCCACCACCACTGAAATACCATCAGCACTTAAAGGAGACCATCTCCTCAAAATGCTTTTGCATTCTAAACAGCATTAGCCTCCCTTCCTATGATATAATATAATCCAGCCTGATCCTGACTTCACCTACCCCCTGGGCCAAAGAAAAAAGATTCAAAGCCTGAATTCTCACATATTTTTACAGCCCATCTTCAAGATGTACACTCATCTTTTTTCTTTTTTTTTTTAGGCAAACTTCCCTATTTCACAACTGATTTCCATGAGAAGAAACTCAAGATAAAAATTTCAGTCCCTTATAAACTTGACACAACCATCTCAAAATGTCAGTCTGTGCATTCCACTAAAACACGAACCATCAATCAGAAATAATCTGTCTCCTGCAAGATTTCACTAAAGTTCACAACCGTGAGATGATTTTGTTGGCACCGACTATGGAGCTTTTCCTTTTTCTTGAGGGGGAGGGAGCACCCGGCTCTGATTCACCAGCATATAATTTTTTTCATAGCAGATAATTTTTGGTACTTGCTCGGTAATGATTCCTTTTAAAATGTACTTCTCAAGATAAGGTGGGTTTTTTAATCTCCACTCTCTGTTAGGACAACTACACGTACAAAATTTTATAGGCTTATAATTCTGCATGCTATATATAGACATAAATAAAAACCTAGAGGTCAACATAAATAAAATAAAACTTTATTTTTTAAATAAAATTATGTTTTGGTTGAAGAAAAGATAGTGTGTCATTTTGTTAGTAGTACAGACAATTTTTTATCCAAAAGAATACATTGTGCTTTATTGTGTCATTTGTCTGAATACAGGCTCAGTGGAATATCTAAATGATACCCTGCTCTGAACTCCAAGTTGAAAGTAAGTTTTTATTATACTTGAGGGAAACAATGGGTTCAGCTGCTTATTGCAAGGAGCAATTGTCAAGGGAGAGTTAAACTCAATTACTGTAACCATACTGAATAAAAAATACTGCCAAGAACAAAAATACGCCTGGGTAAAGACAGCCACTGAATAAAAAAATCGACATAAAGCGTATCAAATATTTATTTATCTGGGCAACAAAGGACTATGATACATTGATAGGCATGGAAACTACTGCCAGCACAACTCAATACAATACAACTATAACTGCTTCCAATATGGCCAGTGGAAATACAGGATACCAGGTGGTCCCGAATGTTTGAAGTTCTTTGGAAAAAAAGGAGAAAAAGAGAAACAAAAGAAGGGAGAAAGAAAAAAGGGGGAAAAAAAAAAAAGAAGGGGGGAGGGGGGAAAGGAAAGCTAAATCTTGTTTTAAAAGACAGTATGAATTTATTGCTCTGATGGTGCTTTCAGGAGAAGGACAGTGGATTAAAATAACTTCTTTCATTTTTCACAACACATAAGGGTTGTAAAACCACTAACATGTTCAAAAACCTCGCCAGGGTCCAACATCACTTTATTTTATCTTCAATGAGAAACTAAATGTCATACTAATTATATATAAAAATTCAGTTTTTTTATTTGTTCAGCTGCTTCATTGTCGCCTTTAACATGCTACAACAGGGCTAAAAATGATGAATCCCAGAGAAAAAACCCCAAAAAACCTCTGATATCTAAATAAGTACCATGAACCACATGATGAACTAAGAGGGGAAGATTTAAAACCCACTAAACAAGAGGTAAACGAGATCACCAGATAAATAAAAAAAGGCTTAAAACAGACTCACCATATTTACAATTCCCATTAAATTACACATAAATAAATATATACATACATGAACACTGATTCCCTTATATAATAACCGTGAATCGTGTTGCAATAGAAAGTTCAAGTTGGTCACTTTACCTTGGACAGGAAAAAGTTCTACAACTGAAGATATGACATGGAACTGCTTGTATTTTGTGTTCAAGTTTATTCACAATACTGATAAAAAGTCATCAGTCCTTTTTGCCTTTTGTTTGTTTGCTGTTGCACTTTTTTCTCTTTTTTTTCAGTTTTAATATGGCTACAATCTTAACTGAAGTTTATGTAAGGGAAGGTGGTGATTCAGTCCGGTGAAGCTCATAGAATTTTTTAAGTATTATTTATTTCTTTTTGGTTTTTTTATTTATTTTTTAATATATTTTTAGAAAAAAAAAAAAGTCCTTTTCTTTTTTGTTTTGTTTTTGTTTGTTGGTTTTTTTTTCCTCCTTTTGTTTTATTTTAAAAAAAGTTCACAAACTCAAGACAGAACTTTTTTCTCTTTGCTGGCTCCGTCCCCCTGTTCTGTTCTCTTAGGCTCCAAACTGGGGTAAAACGACGGTGGCAGTGGGGAGAGAAGGGGGGGGAAGTAGAGAGGGAGCAAATGGAAATGTGGATGCTGGGAAGGGGGTGTGGGGAGAGGGCAGAGAGCAGTCCTGCAGAGTCAGAGAACAGGATTGGCAGAAGGACGCTCATTTTGTTGCTGTAGCCTGGGGTGCTGGGTGCAGGGGGAGAGGGAGGAGGGAGATGAATGGATCGATGGGCTATGTATGAGGGGGAAGGGAGAGGAGTGTAGGGGGGGAATCCTCACTTTCGGTGCTTCTCCTCTTTGTCGCCGCTTTTGGTGCTGTTGTCTGTGTGGCTGTTGGGATTGTTGCTGAGGTACATTTTGTCCATGGCCTTGAGCGCCTCGGTGAGATAGTTCTGCAGGGCAGTGACAGCAGCGCACACTGCCGGGCTGCCGAAGCCGTGCGAGATGAGGTTGAAGTGGGTCAGGCAGCTCTGGATGCCCGGCTCCAAAATGGGGTTGGGCCGCGAGTTCCCCAGGGGAGATCGGTCCTGAGCCAGCAGGTCGGTGAACTCTTTACAGATCTGTCTGTAGCACAAATGGAGCAGAGAGACAGAAGGAGGAGAAGGAGAGGGAGAGAAATGAACCATCACTGGCGCCAGCAAAGCCTGTGCACGCTCCCTGCTAGGTTACACAAGCCCCTGGATCAAGGGGACTGCTGCCCCTGAGTGCACATGCACTCTCTGGCTTCTCCCTCTCCTCTATACTTCCTTCTCCCAGATTCTCACACTTCCCCAACACACACAAACCTCTTCCCTTCCCCCCGCATGCACACATCACGCCCCAGCCAACACGCAAATAACACAGGCACACAGATACACACACACATCCCTGCTGCCCATCCCCGCATCACAGCCCGCCCCAATGCCCTCCCCACAAACACACATCCCTGCCCAGCTGGGTTTTGGAGCAGACGTGCAGTGTGAGGTTCCCCTGTAAGATGGATGGGGTGCGATATACAAATAGGTTCAGGGATTTATTCACATCTTGGAAGATTCTTTTTTTTTGTTGTTGGAACTGGAGAGGGGCATGGGCCTCTTCCTTCGCAAGGCGAAAACACGCGTGTGCGTCAGGAAGAAAGAGTGAGGTCAGAGAGGGGAATCGAGGCTTCAAATTAGGGTATTCTGAAACATTTCTATATGTACATCTATATCTCCAAATCCAAAGGGACCTTCCCGCAGAGGGGAAGGCTGACACTTAACTGGGGTCTGGAAATTTCCTTCCAGGGAGGTGGGAAGAGAGGATACAAGGGCACAGTGCAGAAGTTAGGTTATATCATCCACTCACTGCATAAATAGTTGGGGAAATAACACACCTTATAGCAAGAGAGCTCAGAGGCGTGTTGAAACAGTTTGTATTCTAAAACCCACGTTAATGTCTTCCAGCCATAAAACGGCTCCCATCTTCTGCCTGCGCCCTCTGGCACTGTGCCCTTTGGTGACACCTCCATTGGTAATTAAGGGCTACTAAACAACCCTTTTAATTTCCAGCAAACGTATCAAAACAATCATTTTCTTTTCACACACCACCTGGAAGTCTAGGCAGTCAGGCCCCACCAGTGACAAACTCCGCTAGCATTTTAACTGCGTGCAGATTGCCATTTAAAATATATTTTTAATATCCCTATACTCACTAAGTAACAGAGCTGCTTAGGCAGAAAGAACCATTGCCGACTTTAATGAACTGAAATCAGTTTTATGTGCCGGTTTTATTTTGCTGTCAATGGGAAGCCTTCCCTCTCTATCTAAATTGATAAGCTACGTGAAAAGGCCCAGAAAATGTTTAGCTCTGAAGAATTGCAGCTTTTTCTTTAACTAAGCATTCACGACTCACTTTCAAGGTAATCCTGCACAAACTGTGTTGATGGAAACCAAGCTGGGTTATAGAGTTCTCCTACAGCAGGAGGGCAAATACACCCTGTCACAATTTGCAAAACTATCAGCCACTCTCTATGTAGCAAATATTCACAAATAAAAGCCCCAAAGCCGGGTTTGTCGCCCTCCCCTCACGTCTGAGCAACGTGCCAGAAATCAGTAAATGTCTTACTTCGTAGCTAGAAGCATGTTTTTTCTTGTGACTTGCTCGTTTGGATCGGAATGTTGTCGGTTGAGAAATTCAGCTACTGCTTTGGCAGGAAATTCTGTCTCACAAACGTACCCAAAATCTCTAGCTAGATGTACTGCTTCTCCTGAAAGGGGAGGCACGGGTGGGGATGGGAGGGAAACACACAGCTCATCAGTACACATCGAACAGAGGCAAAAATCCATTAGGAAAAAAAGCACTACATTCTGCTTGGGCTTTTCTTCTAAAAGGCTTGGACTTTTGTTCTTTGAAAAAGGTAGGGTAAGAAATGCTAATCGCATCTTATCTTGCAGGAGTTTTCTTTGCTTCAGTTGAGAGCAATGCAAATGTGTATTTTTCATGACAATCGTTACAAGTGAAATCTCGCATAAGAATTTTTTAAAGTTTACACTGACTGTCAGATACTTTTAGACAGGCAGGCTCCAGCCACCTAGAATGTGTGCTTAGATTTACATATCCATACCTATACCCAGCCACTTACATACATTTTATTCCTAGTTATTTACTCTGGAAATGTTTGCTTGCCTCAGTCAACTCTCTATATTCTTTTGCAATGCATCAGTGATTAATATTGATCATAATTACTCCTAGAGCTCTTCTAAATAAAATGCATTAAACAGCTAAGTGTTTAAAATTTAACTTGATCGCGTATAATTATATGTTCACCCCCAAACGATTAACCATGAGAATTTTAGGGTCATTCCACCGAGTCTGTCTGTTTTGTTGATTTTCAAATCTTTGGTTTTAATTTCCTGAACCAGTTGGTTTTTACTGCAGGGCTTCCTGCCATTAGCTCTAGCTCCGGAAGAACGCATGCGCCAATTAGAGCTTCAAAGCCTCAGTCCAGTGAGCTTGTTTCCATAAAATGGAGCGGATCATAAACAATAACAGTACTCCAGAAACTGCCTCATCGCTACAGGACTCAAAAGCCCCACCAATGTTTATACTATCATCCTCCCAATATCAGCCACCATTGCGAAGTTATGTGGAGATCGGGCCTCTGATTTTGTTTTGTTGTTATGTTTTTGTGTTGTTTTTTTTTAATTCTTTTAAGCCTTTGTATGTGAAAGCCAAACAGAACAATAGATTACCATAAAACCTTCTCCATATTCATTAACATCACAAATAATGTTAAGCATCTACCAAATCTTAAAGACTTTTTACAAGTTTTGCCCTCCCGATTTTTTTACCACAGCCCCGTTGATGCAATTGCAAAGCCTTTTCAAGAACATGAAGACACAGTAATTTTCACACAATATAAATACAGTGGGGCCACTAATCTTCGATGCTTAAGAAAAATGAAGCCTGGCATTGCACAGCGCTTCTTTGCCCGACCCTTTGAACATGAAACATTTCTTGCAGAACGCGAAGCGACAACAAAGCAAAGCAACAAATTCCCTCCTACACAACCAAAACTCAAGCTAAACCTGCACAGCTCAAACTGAGCTTAAAAGTGCTTTGCAGACCAAAACCGGTCTAAAATGCAGTCGAACCTTTCAGTGAGAGGAAAGGAGGAAGATTCTGTCCTTGGCCTTGCTTTGTGCCAGTCAGTGTGTGCAGCAACTGCTTCAAACTAAATGACTGCAAACTCTGAGGCTTCTCACGTCCCGGTTCTAACAGCATCGGGCATCCCAAGGCATTAAAAGTTAAGTTGCACCTTTTCTGGCCAGAGCACAGGAGAGGGGACCGATATAGCCAGGGGAGCACGTGTTCTGAAAATGAGAACCAAAAGGGAATGGGGGGTGGGGAGGTGGTGCAACTCTGGGGCTTTCAGGACACCATTAATTCTTGGCTGAGGTCAAGGATTCCCAAATTAATTCAGGAAGTAATGGTCATGCATTTCTCAAATGCAGATGTCAGAAAACTTAAATGATTTACTGTTATGTGGCTGCAGGCTGGGAGGGAGCACAATCTTAAAAAGTAGCTGCAGCTTCTGACATTTACAATTGCTTGGTTGTCCACCTGTGGCAGGAGGGCAGTGAAGCACCACAGCCAGTGCTCCCCGTCATTTCCAACTCAAGACTCTTGCGGGTCTCTTGTGGGGCTGAGCCCACAGCTCCCATCTGCAGAGATCCTCCCCATGCTGCTCCCAATGAGATCCACTTCCTCTCGGATTACTCACTTAAACGAGGGAGAAAGATGAGCCCTGAAAACTTCTAGCTCAGAGACTCAAAAGCAAATAACTGGTGAAATGTTAACACTGCGTCTGTAAGACACATGCAAGCCTGTTTCACGTTAAAACGAAAAAAGCACAGGCAGACAATTAACATTTTCTTTTCTTCTAAAGGCATAGAAAATAAACACCCTTCCCATTTCTAACAAGCAGCACTGTCTCCAGAGAAAAACGACAACAACAACAACAAAAAAAAAACCCAACACCAAGTCTTCTCCTGGTAGGCAAAAGCAACAGGCACATTTTCCAAACGAGCCCTCCCAGCACTTTGAGTCACTTACCCTCCACGAGCGACGTGAGCAAGGTAACGTTAGCAGCTTTACGCCTCCCGGCTGGCAGGTTTAATCCTATTTTGTCCAGTTTCTCCCTCAGAGATCTCCCTCCGTTTTTAGACTTCGCCCTGCTCCGGGCAAAAAGGCATTGATTGAGAAACGGGGCATCCCGGCGGGCATCCTGACATGCTGCTTTCTCACCGAGGGGAGCGAAGGAGGGGGTATTTGGGGGTGACACGTTGTGGAGCCTGAAGATGGTGTGTTGCCGAAAGGTGACTCTCGGACATAGGGATGGCGCTTGGGATGGCTCCACATCTAGAGAATTTGGGCCTTCCCTGCGGCCCAGATCAGCTCCCTGGCCAGCGGGGAGCCCAGGGCCTATTGTGGTCAGGACTGGAGCCCTGAAGCGGCCCTCTGAGCTCCCAAGGTACCACTATTGACCCAGGGAGCGGCCTGGGCGTGACAGAGGAAAAAAACTTCTCGGGCGAGCAACCCCCGCGACCACCGCGGCGCATCCCCTCCCTCCTATTAAT